GGCCTCGGCACCTGCATTATAAATCAGTGACCATTTTTAGGATTTTGGTGTTGAAATACGCGAGAAAAGCCTTTACAATTGCTCCCGCTTGCTTGATGGTGGTCTTGTCGAGTAAGGGGGAATGTGAGCTTAGCGCCAGTCTGGCGCTTGATTCACTTAGGCGTTCAATCATGCCGCTTATCTCCTTCACATCAGATGCAGCGGGCTAGCGCTAGCCTGCCGCAGTAGGAGGTACATATTGCATTCGAAAAGTGGATTAAGAAGTTGAGAATCGTATAGATGAGGGAATACGTCGCAATTATAAGAAAATGTTGAAATTGAGATTTGTCCCTGTCAAACTCTATAAGCCTTTTTCCAAAATAGTGACCTCAGATTTTAAGCCTTGACCCCCAAATTACTAAAAGATATCGCTGCAAGTCAAACCAACTATTTTTGCAAGCTATTTGTCATTTTCAAACATAATAAAATGCATTTAAACGGATTTATAAAACATCTTTACGCAGCTACTTAAGAATTCACCCACTTCTTGCGAATCGGCGGTAGCAAATTTTGCATGAGTTTCGGCATAGCTTAGCTGCACGATTTGCCAATATTTCAGTGCCATGGCTACCGGCTCATTCACCTGTAAAAAGTTTTTAAAAGAAAAAATGCGCTAATTTTGTCATTCGGCCTCTTACGTCAGGATTTCCGCTAATGAAATCACTTACTTCAGTACACATTCCTCCTAACAGTGCTACAGGACGTGGACGTGATGCGATAAAGTCGAACAATGCCTTCATTCCAAGGGATGTTTTGCACTGAAAAGAAGTGCGAAATACTCTTTTTAGAAAAGATATTGATACTAGAAATAATTAAAAAGTATTTTATTCTAAAGAAAATAGGATTCTTTGTGGAAAAGAAAGAGCTTTCGTAAGAATTTTTATTAATTTGAAGAAAACTTAGAATTTATGCATATTGTCCAGACAAAGTCTGAATAGTAGCTCACCACAATACATTTAAACAACATTGGTCACATAAGAACTACCTATTGAAACTAATGTGCATAATATCCCATAAAATCGGGATTTTCACCGCTTCGTAATTTTCACGCCAATGGATTTCAATGCTATGGAATCTCTCATGGAATATTCATTCCTATTGGGCATCCAGATATAAAGTCATTCATGCATATTTATATATTAGTCAATGCTGAAAACAGTACGCAGCATTCCTGTCTGAATGGAACGATGCTGACAAATTCATGTATAAATTTCTTAGCTCTCAGAGTTTCTCAAAGAGTATCAAACAACCCAGCACCAACTTTGCCTGGCTCATCTCAAAGCTCGGTCGTTACATTTAACGACATTGTTGACATAAGAAAGACGTTGTTGAGTTCTATTGCCAATAAAATGAAGGATTAGTTACTTACTAGTAGAAGAAGTACAGTATGCTTCTTTTAGGGAAGTCGCTTAACTTTCTAAGAAACTTAGAGGGTATCGATATGCTCACAAGTTCAAATTAATTTTAAAACATCATCTCATTCTTTTAGCTACTCCTATCCGTTGTACCTATGGTTATTTATAGATTTAATATAAGCTATAACAAAGAAAGCGTTTTCAAAATTTGTGACTTGTTTGAAGATGATAGCAGAAGCACTGAACTAAAGCTTTACTGGAAATTCTCGCATAGTTTGAGGCATCAATGTTGATTTTTTTTTTTACTTTACTATGCCGCTATTTATAACAGCTTTGGGGGTTAATCTAATTTTTGCCGCGGCTTCCAACTGACAATGTCCCGATGTTACCGAGAAAAGTGGAAAATGGATTAGATGATCGCTATTGTCGTGCATGTCCTTCTAATCCAATTTGGCCAGCGAGCAGTCGATAAAGGCTGCTTCTTTTTGTGCTTTACGGCTTCTAGTTGCTTTGGAAGGAAGAATCTTTAAGATGGTTTGAGCATTTAGATTTTAGAAAGTGCTTAACCACTTTCGGATCTGTTACTACTCATTTTAACAAGAGTGCGTAGAATCCCACTTTAATTCAAAAATTTCTCTATATCGAACAGCATAGTACTATACATATAATTAATGGTAATTAGGGAACAGATATGAAGCATCAAGTAGACATAAAATGGGCTACGATATTCTAGAATATAGTTCAGGCTTCAAAAACTTAATATTTTAAGTTACTTGCTCTTTAAAGCGAACAAAAGCTTGGAGGTACATTGGGGTGTACATCGAAATACTACGTAAAACGAAATCGCATGCATTTGCACGCAATCTACACCTTTTCGAACGTCAGAAACAGATATCATCTCATTGTTTGATATACAGATGTTCCTTTCGCTGGGCTCTCCACATCTCTGAGCCTCATTCCATATAAAATAACTATGGCATGTAAAACCTTTTCGAAGATTACTTGATTACGTCAATCTAGAAAAAGC